AGAGAGAGATGCTAGAGAGAGAAAGATGATTTGGGAGCAATTAGAATGAGATGAAGGATTAAATATTTAAAAGTCCCTCACTTGTTACCCTTCATCCTAGTTGATGGTTTGGAAGTGCATCTGAATGATGTCCAAGCTGTCCAAGGAACGAAGCGGTGAGAGGGAGAGGAAAAGGAGAGATTAAGAGGTATTCTAAAATACCTCGCCTTTTTTTAATAACGTATCAGGTATGTTTTCTACCGATATTCAAATAACGTATGAGATATGTTTTCTACCCATATTCAAATAACGTATGAGCTATGTATTCTAAAATACCTCGCTTTTTTTAATAACGTATCAGGTATGTCTTCTACACATATTCAAATAACGTATGAGCTATGAGAGAGAGGAAAAAGAGAGATTAAGAGGTATCCTAAAATACCTCGCTTTTTTTAATAACGTATCAGGTATGTTTTCTACCGATATTCAAATAACGTATGAGATATGTTTTCTACCCATATTCAAATAATGTATGAGCTATGTATTCTAAAATACCTCGCTTTTTTTAATAACGTATCAGGTATGTTTTCTACACATATTCAAATAGCGTACGAGCTATGTATTCTAAAATACCGCGCTTTTTATAACGTCGCTTTTTATAACGTATGAGGTATGTTTTCTACCCAAAGTCAATAACGTATGAGCTATGTATTCTAAAACACCTCGCTTTTTTTTAATAAAGTATGAGCTATGTTTTCTACCCATATTCAAGTAACGTATGAGCTATGTTTTCTACCCATATTCAAGTAACGTATGAGCTATGTTTTCTACCCATATTCAACGTAATAATCTATGTCAAAGTGAGGATAATTTAAGCAAGACTTAGAATTTTTTTCGATGAAAATATGGCTTCTTTTCATCCATACAAAACGCTAGCCTTTTTTTTCATACCACACCCATGGAAACCCTTTCTCTTCCTCATTTTCTCACCCATTCAAAACGTGAGCCTTCTCTTCTTGAATGAAAACGCGAGCCTTCTCTTCTTGAATGAGGAGAAAATTTTCATTTTCTCTCTATAAAAAACCAAAAACAAGCTCAAACCGCAGGTCCTAAGCGGATCTTTGTAAGTGTAGACCCTTTCTATCTCTATAAGCCTTTTCTCTCGTACCACACCTATGGGAAACCCCTTCTCTTCTTGAATAAATAGAGCATTTTTATTTTCGCTCTCCTAAAAAACTCTTGAATAAATAGAGTATTTTCATTTTCGCTCTCCTAAACAAGCTCAATCACCATCCATAGCAAGCCCTAGGCGGTGTCTTTGGCCGCCTTCACCCCAAAGCTCCCAAACTATCTCTCCGCTCTTGAATCTCTCATCTTTTTTGAAATAGCACTTGGCCCGTAGTCGAAATGGGGGGATCGATATGCCCCGTTTTAGAGCTCAATTTTGTAAGCGATAAGCTAGGGTGGATATTGTATGCAAGCAAATTTTTTACTGATGCGAGGGATGCAAGAAAACTTTTTAGATTGGCAAGACAATTTTGAAAAGGTAGGATGCAAATTTGCTTTTAATAGATTCACACCATCCAAACAGTCCAACAGACTAATAAAAAAAGATGATAATATTTCATAATAAAGGATGAAACAACTTAATTTTTTCAATATGCAATTTGGGGATCTACTTAATAATTAATACATGATTATTCTCAAAAAAAAAAAATCGTGAATTTTAAGTTTTCCAACACTTCGATTTCACCATCTAAGAATTAGATGGTCTTTATACAATCTCGAGACATTATTTTTTCATGTACATAGAGGGTACAATCAAGATTTTTTTTTTTTAATTGAGGTTAATCTATAAGTTGAAGAGGTTATACCCCCAGAATTTGGGGTCCTAAAATAAATTCTAGATGGAGTTGGGAGTAAAATATCTTTTAGCACAAAAAATTCCCACTAGTTCCCACACGAGCTAGCCATAACCTCATGATCTAGATCAATTACGTGCTTTACTGATTTTGTAGGCTTGTCCAAGTTTTGACACAGGTGTATCCCATGATATACACATCATATTCATGCTATTATATTTTGTATAGGGTTCATATACTATAAAACCGCTCACTTGTGATTCAAAGAAGCCACAATCATTTTTATCTATTGAATGAGAAATTCAACAGTCTAAAGTATATCACAAAATTCAAAAGATTACATTTTGAATTTTACACCAAATCAATAGTAATATCAGCCACCTGATTTCACTTCAAATGGTCAATGATTGTGATCACAAAGTTAAATGATGTTATTTGCACAATTTTTTTTTTTGTTTATCATTGTTCATTCTGTATGGTCAGGATTCATCGAAAAGTCAAGACCAAAAAGATCATGGCCGTCCGTCAACGTGGTCCCACCATACTTACCCTACTGTGTAGTAAATTGTAAACAAAGGGCAGCATAATCATATACCACGTGTATTATCTTTTAAAAAATTTGATGCCTAAACTTTATTTGCCTCCTTTTTGCTCTTTCGGCGAGTCAGCAACTGTATACTGTTGCATGGAGTGTTTGTTGAAAATTGAGAATCTCTCTCTCTCTCGATTTTGGCTGAAAGCTGAAAATCTCTCTCTTCTCTCTCTATTTTAGTTGAAAGTTCAAAATCTCTCTCTTAGATGAGATTGTTCGTTGAAAGTTGAAAATAGATGATATTGTTTGTTGAGTTGAAATTCTTTCTCTATCATGTCCATATCTCGTGAGGTCGAGATGATCGAATTGAAGGTTTTTTGACGTCATAACGACTTCTTCTAATGAATTTTTGAAGTCCTTAATTTGATTGTTTAGGGCCATACCGTTGTATAAATGTTTCTATATATAAAATAAGGTGCGTTTTGTATAAGGTTGTTGCCCTAAACGATCAAAGTAAGATGCATCTTCAAGTAGTATTGAAAGATGTTGTTTCCGTACTAAAAACCTTGATGATGGCTTCAAAATCTGTTTTATCTCTAATTATAAGATTTAAAGTTTAAAAGATAGTGGAGCTAGGAGCATATCTACAAAAACTTGAAACTCTTGAAAATTGTATGTCTAAAAAATGCATTACAAAGAAGAACTATTTCTAAGACTAGAAATCTATTTTTTTTCATGTCCATATATTTTGATGTCGAGATGATCCATTTGAGGATTTTTGGCCATCAAAAAAACTTCTTGTAGTGAATTTTTGAAGTGCGCCTTTAATTTGATTGTTCAAGGCTTCACCCTTATATAAGCTTTTTTCCTATAATATAATGTTAGTTGAAAGTTGAAACTCTCTTTGACTCTCTCTCATGTGGCATCTTTCTCTCTCTACTCAGCATGGTTGAACTGTAAACTCTCCTATGTACTAAAAATCCCTCTCTCTCTCTCTCTTGGGGCAGCTTTGCTGATTATTCTAGTGAGAAGTTAATTATTGTGGGAATATAAATATGAGGATACTTTTTCTTCTCTTTGTGAGCTAATATAATAATCCATAAAGCTTAATTACAATCATGGGTGTTTGTGTTGTGAGTTAAGAGTGTTATTGAAGGACTATGGAATCAAGAATGGAAGAGTATGCGGTGTTGCAGAGGATTGGAAGAGGAGCATTTGGAGCTGCAATATTGATCCAACACAAGACAGAGAGAAAGAGGTGAGCTTCTGATTCAATCTTCATCCGTCTGATATTGAATTTCAATTGAACTAAAAAGAGAGAGACTGAACTTTTCTCTATTGGGTTTACACTAGAACTCTCCTCTCTCTCTCTGGTTCAACAACAAAGCAGAGAGAAAGATTTTGATTCAATCATCTTCAATCTGAAATTTCAAATGAACTAGAAAGAGAAAACTTTTTGTCTATTGGGTTTGCGGTTGCACTAGGAAGGCTGAATTTTTCGTATCTCTCTCTGGTTCAACAACAATGCAGAGAAGCAGAAGTGAAATTTTGATTCATTCTTCTTCCATCTGAGATTTCAATTTGAACTAGAAAGACTCAAAAACTTTTTTCTCTATTGGGTTTGCACTAGGAAGGCTGAACTTTTCAACTCTCTCTCTCTCTCTCTCAGGTATATTCTGAAGAAGACTCGGTTGGCCAGGCAAACAGAGAGATGCAAACTCTCTGCCTATCAAGAGGTTACTTAAATTCAGTTAATTACAGTCCGTAGTAAACAAATTGGTGCCTTTTCACTAAAAAACAGTAAAAGAGGAAGAAGAGACTACATTGAGTTCATGCAATTAATAGACCAGTCTAATTAAAAAGATTATGAAAATTTGAATGAGAAAGTGTGTTTTTTATTAATATTTTCTCATTTCACATATATGGTTTCGTAGAATTAATTCTTCTGTTTTCATGTATTATATTATGGATGGTACATCGGGAGTTTTGCATTTGGATAAGTTTGGATTTTCAAGGAATGGTTTATTTGATTTAAGCTATTCCTAAAGGATTAATGATGTTATGAGCAATGAATAATTACACCCAATATCTAATATTTTTGCCTCATCAATAGGTTTCAGATTGCTGGTTTTGTGATATTAGTCTGCACTCTGTACTGTGCAATATCAGTAGCTTAATATCTCTTTGTTTTTCTAGATTGCATTCTTCAAAGGTCTTGAAGACCAATCTATGGACCGATTGTTCATCGACATTTTTGGTGTAGTCTAAGTTGGTTTTTTGTTGGATTTGCGCTCTGGTAGTTGTCTTGTGGAATTACCAGCCCTCATAAAATGCATATGAATATGAGATGACAGAAAGAGCACTTGTTCTGTTTCTTTGCAATTGGCATCTCTTTAATACTTTGAAACTAGTAAATAATGGGTTGTTTTTATGATTGTCAAGACCAAGTTCATCCAATGTCTTATTGGGTTTTGACCTCTGAGAAAGATTTTTTTTTTTTTAACCTTTGCTTTCTGGATTTTGCAGATGGCTTTGATTGGAAGGATTAGAAACCCATACATTGTGGAATACAAAGAAGCATGGGTAGAGAAGGTAACATCAGATCCATTCTCTAAATTTGCCCTCACTTGCATGCATAGAGTCTGCATTTGGGGACTTGAACTTGAAGGCTTAAGAGCAGGTTGAAATCAACCATTGCTTACTAAGACTACAAATCAGTACCAAAAAGCTTCTAAAATTTTCACCACCAGTTCATTGATCATTAAGTCTGAATTCTTACAAGTTATGCCACTGCTTCCTACTGTAATTCAGGGCTGTTATGTGTGTATCGTGACGGGTTACTGTGAAGCAGGAGACATGTAAGTTTCTGTTTCTTGTTTCTCTTAGGAATTCTTGAGCTTCCCCCTCCTTTCATCTTAGACAGATTTGAACATCTGTGAGATTCGTTCTCTCTCACCTCCCCTACCCCCCACCCCCGGCCTCTCTCACACACACCTACAAGGATACAAATTTCAGATGTTAATGTAGCGGCCATGCGCACTACTGAAATGACTTTTGCATGTTTTTGGAAGTTCAGGGCTGACATGATCAAGAGGTCTAATGGTGCATTGTTCCCAGAAGAGGTGAAACTTTATTACAGTTGCCAATTTGTTAATAACCAACTATAGAACAAATTGATTTGTACATAATACATAGGTTTACTCGATTTAGAGATGATCTGCAGTCTTGCTTGGAGATTTCATGGTCTCTTTTAGCCTTGTTCACTGTTTTTGGGTTTATCAGAGGCTCTTCAAATGGCTTGCTCAATTGTTGATTGCTCTGGACTATCTTCACTCTAACCATGTTCTTCATCGAGATTTGAAGGTGGGAATTCAACTGTGCTATCAACCCAAATCTAAGACTGTTTGATGTCTCACGAGACCACCGTGCTTTTCAATTTAAATTGGTTTGCAAGGAGATGCAGAAAATGTTTATGAATAATTCCGTATGCCACCAGTATATTTTTATTAGCAAATTCCAGTGAACTTGTTTTCTAATGTACTTGTTTTTAATTAATTTCTTATTGGATTCATTATTCTGCCATGGGTGTAATTCATTAAGAAATTTCTTGTCTCCATTGATTCTTAAGTGGTTGCTCTCTCTCTCTCTCTCTCTCTCTCTCTCTCTCACACATATCATCATCGCATGATTTACCTGTACCTTATTTCCAGCTGAATCTAAGTGTCTTTATATCCAGTGTTCTAACATTTTCCTGACTAAGGACCTTGACATTCGACTTGGTGAGAATCTAGATACTCAATCCTCTGCAGTTATTATCTTTTAGACTTCAGTAAAAGTGAAAACGAATGCTTCTGAAGGCTACTACTTCCCCCTGCAATTTCCTTTTTTTACTGAAAGTTTACATAAGATCATGTGCAGGTGATTTTGGACTAGCAAAACTGTTAAAAGCCGATGATCTGACATCCACGGTACGTTTCTGGCTTTTCTTATCAATCTTTATAACTCAATTTGGATGCTCTTTAACACATTATATAGTGGTATCAATGAAATTTCTTTTAAATCTAAAAACATTTCAAGTATGCACGTATACCGATATATGCAAGTGAGGCCTTTCGAGAGCATAACCAGTGATTTAATTTGTCAAAACTGATTTGGAACAATGAAATTGCACCTGAAAAGAATCAAAATTAATGCCCAATCCAGGTACGAATGTCACAACAACCTTGATTTTGGAGAGTGTTGATGGTGCTATACTGCTGTCTAATGTGCAGGTTGTAGGAACTCCCAACTATATGTGCCCTGAGCTCCTTGCAGATCTTCCATATGGCTTCAAGTCTGATATCTGGTCTCTAGGTACGCTTTCACAATTGATTCCCATTATTAAGTACTCTCTCTCTTTCTCACTCTCTCGCTCTCTCTCTCTCTCTCCTGTGAGTATTTATGTTCTGAACCTCTAACTGCATGGTGTGGAAAATTTATTTCTTACTTTCTTTTCTTCTCATTTGGTGTATTGAAGGTTGCTGCATGTTTGAAATGACTGCACACCAGCCAGCTTTCAAAGCATCTGTGAGTATCTCCTCCAATTTATACTTTTACCTCTTCCAACTCGCAAACCGTGAGAATTTGACATCCAATATGTACTTCATAAATTCATGCCATACGTATCCCATTGGAACTCGAATTTAGCAATTTCACTTAAATCAATTGGAACAGGACATGGCTTCACTGATAAGTAAAGTTAACAGATGTTCAATTGGACCACTTCCAAGCATATACTCTTCGTCGCTGTGAGTTAAGCATGTTTGTACTTCCACACATTTGATTAGCTTTCTATGATGAGAGAGAGAGAGAGAGAGAGAGAGAGAGAGAGAGAGCTCATGTGTGCTTTGTGCTATGTAGGAGGTCACTGATAAAGAGCATGCTAAGGAAAAACCCAGATCAAAGACCAACTGTAAGTCCCTTTGTTTAACAAGCAGTAGCATTCATTCAACTCCTTCACAATGCAACTAAATAACACAGTATAACCATCTCAGGCAGCAGAACTCTTGAGCCATCCTCTCTTGCAAAAACATGTCGAAAAATGCCTCCCTCCTCTTTCCCCCACCTCCCACTCTTTTCCAACCATGAAAACCGGTAGCCACATGACCATGAGCCATTATTTCAAAAGCAATTCAAGCGATGAAGAAGATAGCCCCTACGCACCTGCCAGCACCAGCAGAACACTCACCCACAAAAGTCTTAAGTCACTGCAAACTGATGAAATGATATTATGTAGCAATTATGGGTCTTTCAGTTCAAGCAATGAAACTTCATCCCCATCAAATTTCAAAATCCATGACGTTAAAGAAGCTGAAGAGAACCCATCTTCAACCTTGTTGAAACCAAAGACTAAACCAATTTCTAAGCCCGAAGGGCCACTGGCTTCACCTAGACGCAACTTGAAAGCGTCCTTTATTGGTGGCACTCCAAGAGTGGACCAGTTACCTTTCTCACCAAGACACAAATACCTTAAACCTAATTATGCTCCACATGATAAAACCAAGAAAACCATAGTATCTGTATCTCCAAAGATGCCTTCAACCAATTCCTATAATGGTAAGAAGTTAGAAAGCATGAGAAAGAGAGGATACTTTAACAACCCTTTGCCCGAGAAAATAAAGAGGCCCACAGTAGCAGCATCTCTACATACACCTTCACCCTATCTCTCTAATGATAAGAAGCTCGAAAGCATGAAGGAGAGAGGGCACCCTCATGAATCATGTGGTCAGATAGAGGAAGAAGGGTTTCACAGAGGATTCAAAACAATGAAAGGTGTTATTCACGCTGAAGATGGGAGCCTGGAAAACGAGGACGATAGTGTCCTTGCTAAGTCTAGTGAACATACAGATTACCAGAATAGATCTGATGCTCTGGAGTCACTGCTAGAGATTTGTGCACAATTACTTCAAGAGCAGAGGCTCGAGGAGCTTGCTGGTGTGCTTAAACCATTTGGGAGAGGCGGGGCCTCGCCAAAGGAGACTGCCATCTGGGTAACAAAGAGCCTCAGAGGTGTCAGAGACGAACAAAACAAAGAATCTGTTAGACCATTGTTTTAGGCGCATTAAATATGAATTGCTCTGAATCAAGCTCAACAACCATCTTTTGTAGTGTCGAATCAATTTTGAGCTTCGTTAACTGAGGGAGCCTTGAAATCATGGAACATCCATGATTCAATCAAATTAACATAAAGGTGACAGCAAACCGATTGTCGGACACAAGATATGAGGATTTGATTGAAGAAAGAAAGCTAGTGAATTGATGTGGAACTTGACTAGATGATTAAGTATGATTTTAATTACACTATTTTTTGTTTTTTATTCATCTAAAGGAGCATCCGCAATTTTCTGCTGCCTTCACACAATTTTTGTTTATTTATAATAAAAAAAAAAGACAACAGAGAAAGAAAATAACAATAAATGGGAGAGGGGAAAGAAATCAGCAGACTTCCTTTTATGGCCTTCCAATCCTACTAAAAAATTATACATTACAATAATTAAAGAGGGAGAGAAAAAATTCCAACCCGTAAGCAATATAAGACTACTTAAAAATGGCCATATATAAATTCCAAATTAATTTGGCCAATATATTAATTTGGCCAATACAATGATAAAGTTAGACCTAGAGAGAGAGAGAGAGAGAGGGAGAGATATTACATCAGCACCATTTTCTAAAAAACCAAGACCAGACTCACATTGAATTGGCCACGGCCTCTTCACATTTCTCCTCTGCATGATCACCTTCTTGAGCTTGACACCCATGGCAACCGCTCTCATCCACAAAGTTGGGGGGTTTTGGAATGAGTCCAAGAATCTTAAACATTAGTTGGTCCGCATCATAGTCATTGTTAGGGGTAGTGAGCAACTTTTCACCAGTGAAGATGGAATTTGCGCCAGCAAGGAAGCAAAGGGCTTGTTCTGGCATCGAGAAGCGCACCCGACCAGCAGAAAGCCTGACCATGGCCTTAGGCATCACGATTCGAGCAGTTGCAATCATTCGAATCATCTCCCATATCTCAACTGGCTGAGGAACGTGAGAGTATAATTTCTATGTGAGCTGATTCTACACCATCACTAGAGAGAATTCATGAACGAAGTTTGAAATTCCAGGTTTTGGACATAATTGGTTGAGAGAAAAATGTTCTTTTATTTATGGAGAAAACAGAATATAGGCCCAAGTTTGCCAACATTTTTAGACAATGGTGCACGTATTGAAACTCAATTATCATAAAGATATACAGAAAAACAAATATAACAAGCATATCTCATGGGTAAAAATGGCCGCATTCTTTGCTTTTTTTAAATAAAATGATCCCTTGTTCTTTAGACGGAATAACATTTTTTAATTTTTTCTAAGGTTAGAAACAACATATTCATAAGATGAGCGTAGCTGAGACGAGGATGCTAAGATGGATGAGTGGCAAAACAAGAAATGATAGAATTCAGAATGAATATATACGAGGGAATTTAGGTGTGGATTCAATAGGCGATAAGATGAGAGAAAGTAGACTTAGGTGGGCAAGCCATGTACAATGTAGACGCCGGTTGGGATGTACGATTTTGTTCAAGTGGAAGGCTCTAAAAGGGCAAGGCCCAAAAGGACATAGATAGAAGTAGTGAGAAAAGATATAGTGACTTTTGGTCTTACCGAGAGTGTAGCCCTTGATAGAAAAGAATAGAAGAACATGATTCATGTAGCCGATCCCAAATCATTGAGTTAAGGCTTGAATGATGATGATGAATTTTTTTAAAAATAAAAAGACCCTTAATTCTTCAGATGCAATACAGTTATATTTTCAATAAAAAACAAGGTTGCATCGTTTCATGTGTTAATGCACTCTAAACGATTTGGCATTTTCAACATTTCAGAGGAAAACCAGAACTACTCCAAAAGCGATAGACACAAGGCCATGAAAAAATACTTGACTCACCTTTTGATCTTGGAGTGGTGTCCCCTTAACTGCAAGCAAGGCATTAATAGGAACACTCTCGGGGTGAGAAGGAAGGGTTGCCAGGGTATGAAGCAGACCAACACGATCCTCTTCAGCTTCACCAAGCCCAATTATTCCTCCTGAAGTTAGGAGACATCACATTATAGTACCAAGTACCCTGATGTTCTCAAGGTGATAGTGTATAGATTTCATTAAGTTGTATTTTCATGAATGTCACCCTCTTTTAGTCTACAGGTTTTATATTTGTGAAATGGATAATATATCTAACAACGAATGGAAAAACCACATGCAATGACCCAAAACTTTAACATGATCTATGAGACAACCAGATAATATAATTTGAACAACCACATGCCGAACGTCCATGCTTCAATAAGTAATATACCCATTGGACAACTTTCCAGGAGACTAATTTTCACATCAAATAATATAGAATTAAAATATTGGAAGAATTTCAAATGAAATTTATCAGGAACATTGGGGTTTTTTTCCCTGAAATTTTCAGGAATAATCCGAACATCTTAAAATTCAGCGCATGTCAGTGAGTTTAACAATAGTAACTGCATCTAGTAGTTGCACCAAAAATAACAATATATTCACAACTTTTTCATAAAAAAAACACAGCTAAAGAGCCCTTCTTTCTTCTCATTCTTCAAGAAGTCCAAAAAAATAATAATAATAAAGAACAAAGGGCTAAGAGGATACTATTGTCCACCAAAACCAGAAACTTAAAAAGTTCTTGAAAGATTTAAATGAATCATCAAGCAATGGCTTCTGTATGTATTATTTTACCTGAACATACACTGATTCCAGCTTCACGAACATACTCAAGAGTTTTCAGCCGATCATCATAGGATCTTGTTGAGATTATTTTTGGATAATATTCTCTTGAGGTGTCAAGATTATGATTGTAAGCTGTGAGACCTGCCTTCTTAAGCTCCTCTGCTTGCTGCTTCTCTAGCATGCCCAATGTGCAACACACCTCCATACCCATTTTCCTGTCAAGGCAATTAAGGAAGCGAACAAATTCAATAACTAGAAAGATTGTTGCTTAACAGAATCACAAGAAGTTACACATTACAAGGTTTATACAATTATAAATAGAAAGGTTTTATGCCTCGTTCATTTTTATCCATCAACAATATATGTATCACAGAACTGAAAAAATATGTACAGCACAAACTGTGTGACCTACAAACACTACTTCGGTTATTTGACTCAATCAACCATTTGCCGTTCAAATGGAACCAGCATGTAACACTATTGTGACACTTCATTTTAGAGATATCACAATTTAAAACATTGAAACTTTAACCATGGCAAATATTATTCTCATTAACCAAAGACAGATCAGATCTTCAATGTTATTTATCCTTCTAATGCTTGAAGTAATGGGCCAAAAACATTAAAAAGAATAAGGAAACAAATTCAAGAAATACAAGCTACTCAAGAAAAATACCCTGGCATCGAACCATTTGAAGAAAAACCAGCTCCTACTTAAAAAGAAAAAAAAAAAAAAAAAAAACCTACACTTAAGGAAAAACGAAACCAACTGAAGAAATACATCAAAAATTACATCCTTGCATGAAACAACAGAAGAAAAAAGCAGTGTTAGAAAGTGCGACTCAGGCCAAGTAATCGGTCATGGCCCGAGGAGATTACTCAGACCGAGTCCGAGTAACTCGGCCAATCAGTGCCAAGTACTGTAGCAACAAAAACAAAGGCTAAAAAATATATAAAAAATCCAAAATAATAGGAAATGTATGTTTAAAGTAAGAATAAGCAAAACACTTCAAAATGATGTTAGAAACATAGTAAAAATATAGAGGGGTATTTTTTAAATGATCCAAGAAAGAAAAATAATAATAATATTCCCGAGTGGAGCCCAAGTAACTCAACCGAGTAGAAACTACTCGACGGATTTCTCAATCACTGCCCCAAAGTGCACCACTTGCTCGTATCCAGCCTCTTACCCTGTATCACTTACTGAAGTGGGGGCCACAACATCATGTGTTCCAATCCTGCCCCGTTAACATGTCAAAAAAAAAACGAACACTTACATACATCATACTCAGCCCCAACCGTCTTGGACCATACACCACTCAAGTAAGATTGATATACATGCCTCCACTCCCCCTTTCACCATTCCTCCAAACACTGTTCAAAAAGCTCAAACTATGTGGCCAACTCAATCGTTGACAAAACTGAGTCAAGTTGTCAAGTTTGCTTTGAAAAACTCACCAAATTTTCCAAATTTTCATGTGAATAATTTCAAATAAAAATAGAGCGATTGTTGTGGGAACAAACCCAGTTTGCCACCTAGGTCCAATTCCAATGGAAGAGACCATGTACTTGTCAACTTAAAATCAAAATTAGGTAAAGGGGAGAAAAGGACACATGCTGAGTTTTTTAATAGTAAAACTCGCAAATCTTGGCAAGTCGAGTTGACTCCGGTGAGTTTATTTGAATTGAAGCAAGTTTTCATTCACGCCTCCAAATATAGCCCATATTAAACCAATCTAAAAGCCGGCAGTTGAAAATGATACATCTTATGTGTGAGAACAAGGTAAAAAGCAGAGAGAACCTAAGGACACCTACCCTCAATTAAAATGACAAAAGTCATCCTTACATAAATCCAGCCTAATTTACTCACCTATCCTAATAACCATATTGCATAATTGATTGCTTCTGTAGAAAAAATAAGAGGCCAATAAGGAAGGTAAAATCGACATATGATGCGTGATCTTGGGATTCAAAATAAAGCCCCAAAATGTTGAACCACATAACAAGTGTAGTAGTTAGTTACCGTATTAAACTACAATTAACGCAAGACATCAGAACCAAATAGAAACTACAAGCCTTTGTACGAGGAATAACAAAGCACAAGAATCATAATCAGTGAAAGAGGACACAACAGTGAACTTGTCCATAAAAATCTAATAGAAGATATGCACATTAAACTTGACATAGCAAAAGAACTTAATATGAAAATCAAACCAATTACTTGAAAGAAAAGTTGAAATCACGGAGCACATCTCGCCCAATGGCTCCCACAAAAGCTAGGGTACGCAGACCTCTGAACTCTCACAATCTCCTTCTCAAAATAAATTGTTACCAAACCTCTTTTCATCATCTCAGTTTGTTTTTCACAAACTGTTATGATATGCATGGGTTCTTCACAAAATACTAGCCGCTTGTCATACAATTCTTATTCCCTAAATCTCTGCTTGAAATAACATTGCTCAATTCTCCAGGCCCTTTTTGACTTCTGCTAACCTGCCAATGCCTTCATTTTCTAGTCAGCCTCTAAATTCATAATCAGCAACTGTTTTCAGTTCCTTAATTTCATTTTCAATATCTATTCTTTATTTCAGTTCCTTAAATTCTTTTGTAAATGCCAAACAATGTCAATAAGAATATTCCGATCCATCTCATGATCCGCGCCATAAGTTTCTTCAACTCCATTGACCACCATTTTCCTTCTTTTAAGAAAAGTTATTTCCTAGGGGAAAATTTTATATTTTCATTTTCAGATTTTCTTCTCTGACATTTCGATATTGCTGCTTCTTCAGTTTCATATACATTCTCTCCGATGGATAGCCCCCATAAATTTGGAAAAAACTATAACTGATGCACTCCTCCATAAAATGTAACCAGTAATTAGTCTCCTCTGGTTTCCATTGAAGATCAAATATACCCAAATTGAAACAGCAAACAAAATATTTGAGCAGTCTATCACTCCGGCAGCTGCCTGACTGAATTTCTCAACTGAAGAGCCTAGCAGGAGAAAAAGCCGAAGCAGTGGGATACGACCTTCCTCCGACTACAGCAGTAATGTGAACAGATCCACTGTGGTACCAACTACCAAATCAGAAAAGGTGCTTTATTTTGGTCTTGCCAACTAGTGGCTGAAACAGTGATGATGCAGAACATCTGAAGGAGATGCACAATCAGGTCTGAGAAGCTTTGACAAAGCTATGACAACTACAAGACCAATGCAAATGGGCACCATCTATAAAAAGCATTTGCCGAAGGAAATCTAGAACAATTTATCTTCAAAAGGAATGGTATCCAAGAGTGTCTAACAAGTCGCTCAAATATGGAAAGATTGGACCATGGCAAATTCTTATAGAAGATAGGGAGCAATGCTTAAAAGATCAAGCTTCAAGATGGCTACAACATCTTCCTTATCTTCCAGTTTCAACACTTAGTGACTTTATAGATGACATAGAATAGAACTAGAGAGAGAGCGTGGAAAGAAGTTTCCTGAGCAGAAAGCCAATGAGAATGAAGATATCATAGATGGTGTGCATTACCACCAAGGCCAATTTTTCCCAACCAAGGGAGATTGGAGAAAGAGCAGTCTCAAAGAACAATGTCGACTTCGATAGGTTGTAACTTTGCTTTCATGTGCAAAGTACCTAATATCATGTATGTTTTTCAGGGTAGCTCGATGAGACGAATCAAACTCTAGGAGCTATCAAGTCCAATTTACAGAAAAATACAGTATTTGACTAGAATCTCAGTTTTTTCTGTTTCCATTTCTTTCAGGGGTAGTCTCGATCTGAAAAATGGAAAAACAATAGTCAGATGGTTACTTCTAAAGTTTTATGGAGGAGTGCAACAAATATAGTTCTGCTCCAACATTAAGGGACATAAATTTGAAAGAAGGCATACCAATTTGAAGAAGGAAGAGCCTTATAATGAAGCAGAGAGAAAATTGCAACAAGAAAACAAAAGAACCATCTTTCAAAGCTCCAATTGAAGAGAAGGCCAAGAATAAAATATGGCCAGTTGAGTTGTGAATAAACTTATGGATTTGACATTCTTGGCAATTAGAAAAGGATTTGACTGACTAACCGATGTTGGCTATGGAAATCACACAAATACAAGGAAGGTTGGCAATTATGAATATAGGAGCTGCCCAGAAAATAAAGGCACCAACTAGGCCACGTTTAGTGAAAGGACAAAAAAACTGAATATCTTAGAAGAATCCAACAATATTCTGTTAAGTAGAGAACAAGATAAACATGACAAGATATGAGTATTTCGTGAAGAATCCATATGATAACATTTTTTGTCAGAAAGAAATTAAGGAGATGAAAGAAGTTTTGATGAATTTCATATTCTGTGAGAGTTGAGAGGCTTGCATACCCTAGCTTTTGGAAAAGCAATAGGAGCAAGTTGTGCTCCCTTGATTTCCATTTCTCTTTCTAGTTGTTGATTTAATTTTTCCATTATTCATCTCTTATTTCTGTTGTTGCATCAACAGCCCATCACCAAATACCATAAAAAGGCTTACTTAAGAGGGAGCTATTATAACATGAAAGTAGTCGTGTGAGTATGGCTAACACACCTTGCAATTATTTAGTTAAACAACTCTTCATATTTAGTGATGAAGGCTAGCCAAGTATCACTAATTTTAAATTTTAAGGTGCACCATAAAAGGTATCATGATGGGAAAGGTAACCACGTACTCTCTAATTTAACTTTTATCATAACTGAATGAGACAGGAAACTAAAGATTACTCAATCCAATTTTCCCAATATGAAACACACCTTATAGCCTTGACATAGTCAAGAATTTGGTTGAAGTTTGTTTTCCTACCCACTGTGTCTCTCCATGCGGCACCCATACAAAATCTTGTACTGCCAGCCTCCTTTGCCTGCAAAATTTCGGAAAATATAAATTGCATTTAACATAACGGATATAAACACAAATAAATCTTACAAGGCACATGAGCAAGGAATAGATTAACATTAAATCCTATGTTAATAGGAGAATCTGTGTCTAGTTCAGATATACTCACCTGCCTATAATTTGCCAAGTCCATTGTGACATGTCCATAGAAGTCCTTACAACGTGCACTTATATATTTAATAATTTTACGACTTGTCAATAAAGAAAAATAAATAAAAATAAATTGAAAATAAAACAAGTGGGTCCAAATCAAAGAAACCCGTATACAGATCGTACACTCATGCGGCCATGAATATCTTACAAAAAGGAGACGCATCCGTGATTTCTCAATTATGTGGCCTCGCATGTCCATAAAGCAGACATGCCGCGCCTGGAAATCCAAAAAAATAAAAATTTCCAGACATGGATTTCCTGTGCTTGTATGTGTGTCTTGTATGTCAACAAGCATGTCTAGTACATTGGCATGTCGGATTCTCCCAGTACATAGATCACATCTAGTACACCTTCAGAAGTTCATAATTTATCTATTCCAAAATACATCAAAACATATTGGCCCATATCATAACTTTAATGTAAACTTACATAAAAAAGAATTTAAAATGACCTAACCAAATGAGCTCATACTAAATGTCTTTGCATGCTAAAGGATTCTTTGACAATGAGAAGAACTCCCATATGAAAATAAACACATGGTAACCACTCTATCTATCTCTCTTTATTCTTGTGGGATAGACTGCCCATACGAATTTTCTACTATCAAAAGTTTAAGATCTGGGTTTTATCGCTCTTGGGAAATTACAGGTTCCAAGCGCTTCAAGGGCTTAAGGGGGGGGGGGGGGGTGGGGTTTGTGAGGGCGGTGGCAGGTGTATGTGTGTAAGCTTTTAAATCAGAATTCAGACCAAAACTGTACTAGTTTAATAACCTAGACACAAACTAGTATTGTTGCTGAAAGCAAAGTAGACAAATGGCAACCTCTGGGTAAAACTACACCTGGAAGAAGTACCAACCGAACAGCTCGATAACCATCAGCAGCTGTTCATAATATTTATATCGAATAGTGGCTTTCTTTACATCCTCTCAAACTAAAATAGCAAATACAAATGAGCAACTAATTATGTAGAACACACAAAATAAATCATCACATTTATTACACAACACAAAATAAATCATCACATTTATTACACAGCACAAAATACTGCAATGGGCGGCTAAGCACATGAAAAGTGAATATAAAGCACAAATGGAATCTACCTTTCTAGCTGCCTCCATGACATCATCTTTGCTCATGAGCCTTTGGCTTTTCACCCCAGTGTTGTACCTAGACGACTGTGGACAATAAGAACAATCTTCACTGCAACCTCCAGTCTTGATAGAAAGAAGAGTACATTGTTGCACTTCCCTAAATTTCTGGGTATGTCTATGGACTTGAGCCTGCAAAATTTCATCCATTTTCATAACTAAAATCGTTATGTCCTTAAACTTTTACCAGATGAATCCAGTCATTGCCAAGAAGAGATGGTTGACGTTTAACCCCTCCTTAGTAGAATTGGGAGCATTAAAATAACGTGATATGCAATAAAATTCTTCTGGATAACACAAAGAAGTACCAATTTATAACAACAGTCTATCATAACCGATAGCTAATAAATATTGCATTGAACGTACTAACGATAACAATCTGATTTCTTTTCCGGCTTACCGGTTTATTCTTTATTTTAAAACTTAAAAGTGAAAACAATCAGGAAAATTAAGTTTATGCCAGTTCAGTAACATAATTCATGGCAATTACAGATTTCTTTTTTAAGCTAGAGAAATCAATATTAATGATGGATTTTGATATACTTGCTGCCTCATGGAGATCACACGTAAAAAAATAAAACAGGGAAAACCATCAACAGATGATGATAAAATAAAATAAAATTGAGTAAAGTAAATTAAATTAAGTAAATTCCCCAAAATAAATTTGAAGATGAATATTTCAGCCACTCAGCCATAAAGGACCCACTCTAAGCAGAGGCAGAGCCTCAATTAACATGCATGCGAAGGCAGAGTCACAGAATGATAGGAAATAAAAAATTTCAAATGGAAATAAATCATGGGTATAATAGTCGAAATAAATAAATAATGGGTATAAATTTCTAAGTTAAAATTTTCAATCTTTACATTTTAAAATCCTCGATGATTTTCCATACGAGTAATACTAGCACCACTGCATCAATTTGCATGGGGTGAAAGTTATTTTGCAATGCAGTTGGAGATAACCCCGAACTTATAAATCTATAAACAAAAAAAAATATTAAAGTTTGAATCTTTGAGCTAGTACTGCAAGTAATTAAGCGAAACTATCCAATTAAAAACATTTAAAATTAATATAAACCTTTTTCTGCCAAAAAATTAATAAATTAGCAAAACCCAAGTCATAGTTCCAAGAAAAAAATGAAGAAGAAGTTTTAAAGAAAAATGAAAACTGAACTTTCAGAAGGGAAAAAAAAAAAAATGAATTGGGGTGCCATTATTACTTACGCCATGGAAGAGTAAATCAAGAATGGGAGAATCATAAATGGCGTTGATAGATTCTTTGGTCCAATGGTTCCTTGGTCCCTCTGCAATACTCCTTTCTGCCTCAATAGCTGCGGCCGACGCCTTAGAGTTCAACGAATATGGCTCCGGAGAACACGAGAAATACCGAACCAGAGGCCATCTCAGAGAAGAACAATGGAGAGATCTCCTCATCAACATCTCTCAGTCTAAAGTTCTCTCTGTGAATTTGGGGTAAGTGGGAGTGAAGTCCGAGATTCAGAGAGCTAATTTATAGGGGAAGAAGGGCAGGTGGAAGGAGTTACGAGGGATGATGATATGCACTCACAGCCCTTTCTTTCTCTCTCTTTTTTCTCTCTCTTGTTTTTTTTTCCCTCTCGTTTTTGTTTGGAAGCTGGTTATCTACCAAAGCTACCCATTGTTCGAATTTCCAAGGGAAAGTTCAAAAAAGATAATTGAAAAGGCTAAAAATTTCTAATATTTCATTTCTCTGTCGGATTTTGAAGGTCTTAATACTTGAACTTAGGGGTTCTGCGGCTTAAAAATATGTCGGATTTTTTAACTTTTGATTTTGAAAATCCCAAGCTCTCTAAAGTCCAACTGTAAAAATCCAAAGTTTTCCCTGCATCCCCAAAGAGAATCGGGAGAAGTAAAAAAAAAAACATAAAAAGATAGGTATGAATGCAATATTCAAATTTAAAGTATTTTTGATAAATTTCCCTTGAAAAAAATATTTTAAGATATATTTTGGTAAAAAAATTTAAAAAAATAATATGATTCATGAAGATCCTGGAAAAGATAGAAAGGATTTTTTCAAGTATATTAGTCGATCCCTTTAGAGGAGGGACTAAAAAAGTAGAGAAGGAAAGAGGGAGTATTGAATGTTGCATATTCTATTTAACTTAGGCTATAAAATATACTTAAAAGATGGCATATTCTATTTTGGGTGAGTTCGATGGGGGAGAGGACCCTACCTTGTTAGATTTTTTTTTTTTGGGGGTGGGGGGGGGGGGGGGGGAATGATTTCATGCAACGGATTTATAGTTATGCAACGGATTTATAGTAATACGATACAGCAACCTTCAAAAGTTATGGTATGACCATTTGTTTGATCCAAATTTTGAAATATATAATATTTTCATTTTAATGAACGATCACAAAAAAAAAAAAATTTGAAAACACAACGTAAAAAGTATTTTTTTTTTACCCCAATTAACTTAAGCCGTTTATTTTGGTGAGATGTTTAGATCTAGACCTTAGAAGGATTTTTTCATTTTTATTTTTTTGGATAGCTTTATTATCATTAGATAAACAATGTTAAAAAATAAATAAATAAATGATAGATTCGTTTTTGGAGGGGAACCATTTTGACCATATCTAGAGTTCAAATTGAATTTATTTTTTTTTTTATTAGTGAGATGAAAAGAGTATGTGTGCAAAATTTTGTGTCATACAAATACCACAAACATGATTTTCTATAAGTGTCGTTGCATCGTACTATGATACAACCGTTGCATTAAATTATTGCCTTTTTTGGGCAAGTCAATGGGGAGAGGACCCCTACCTTAGTAGGAATTGAGCTTAGGAGATAGCGTTGCAAATCGTCAAGCCCTAATCAATTAAGGGGCATTTTGATAGGAGGAAATTAGGAATCTTAAATAATTGAAATCCAAGGAAATATATGGATTTTCAATATCAAGGATTTTTATCATGGATTCCTCAAATCTCTTGTTTAGATAAACTATACAAAATTCATGGATTCTTTGCAATCACTTCTATGTCCATTGTTTGGTAACAAAGCTTGATACAATTTATCTCTCTAAATTTTTTATATATTTTTTCTCTCTAAAACTCAAAATTTGGGAACGTATATCTCCAAGAAATTTGAGATAGTTTATCTCTTTAAAATTTGATATGGTTTGTCTCTCTAAAGTTTAATATACTTTTTATCCAAAATTTAAAAATTGAAATGGTCTATCTAAAAATTTTGAGATAATTTCTCCCCCTAAAATTTTTAGGTGATTTACTTTTTCTAAAATTTAATATAGTTTCTCTTTCTAAAATTTTAAGATACTCTCTCTAAAACTTAAAACTTGAGATAGTTCCCCTATTCAATAACTTTGATATAGTTTCTCTCTCTAAACATTTTTAAGTAGTTTCTCTCTCTAAAATATGTTATAGTTTTTTTTTCAAATTTTAAGATACTTTCTCTTTCTAAAAGCTAAAATTGGAGATGATTTCTGTCTATAAATTTTGCGATAGTTTATTTTTTTAAAAAACTTTATGTACTTTCTCTCTTTAAAATTTGATATAGTTACTTTTAAAAATTTTAGTATTCTTTATCTCTCTAAAACTTCAAATTTGGGATAGTTTATCTCTCTAAAATTTTAAAACAGTTTATCTCTTTAAAATTTGATATAGTGTATTTCTAAACTTTGATATACTTTTTATCTCTGAAGTTTAAAATTTGATATACTTTCTATATCTAAAACTTAAAATTTGAGATAGTTTATCTCTCTATTTTTTCTTAAAATAGTTTATCTCTCTAAAAATTTCATGTACTTTCACTATTTAAAATTTGATATAGTTTATCTCTCGAAAATTTTAATGTACTTTTTTTCTCTAAAATATAAATTTTGCGATAGTTTCTCTCTCCAAAAATTTTGAGAGGGTTTCTTTCTAAAAATCTCTCTCTAAAATTTTCTAGGTAGTTTATCTCTCTAAAATTTGATATAATTTCTATTTCTAAAATTTTAATATATTTTATCTTTCTAAAATTCAAAATTCGATATAGTTTTTCTCTAAAACTCAAAATTCAATATAGTTTTTCTCTCTAAAACTAAGATATTTCTCTCTAATTTTTTTTTTGCCGTTTCTCTTTCTAAAATTTATAATAGTTTCTCTCTGAAAGTTTAAGAAGATTTTCTCTCTCTACAATTTTAAGAATACTTTCTCGCTTTAAACCTTAAGATTTGATATAGTTTCTCTCTCTAGAAAAGTTTGAGATAGTTTATATTTTTAAAACTTTTTAGATACTCTCTCTAAAATTTGATATAGTTTCTCTATCTAAAAATTAAAATATGAGATTGTTTCTCTCTCTAAATTTTTTTAAATAGTTTCTCTCTCTAAAAAATTGAGATAGTTTATCTCTCTAAAAATTTGCATGTACTTTCTCTCTCTAAAATATGATAGTTTCTTTTTAAAAATTGAAATTTGAAATAGTTTATTTCTCTAAAATTTTAAGATAGTTTATCTCTCTAAACAAATTGGTACTTTCTCTATCTAAAATTTTAACATACTTTCTCTCTCTTAAATTTTAACATAATTTCTCTCTCTAAAAGTTATAATTTGATATAGTTTAGCTCTCTAAAGTTTTGAGATGGTTCATCTTTCTAAAAAAAAAAATTGTTACTTTCTCTCTCTAAATTCTAACATACTTTATCTTTCTAAAATTTTAACATACTTTGCCAATAAAAGTTAAAATTTGTGATACTTTTTTTCTCTACAAATTTTGGGAAAGTTTATCTCTTTAAAAATTTTAGGTATTTTTTCTCTCTAAAATTTTCATATCTACCAAATGCTTCCTATATTTCAGGTGGAGGAACCAATGAGTGAAATCCATGGGCCTTAGAAATGAAAAAAAACAGGTTTTGGTGTGGAAATGAAATCATGAAAAAGTAGGTCTTTTTTCCATGATTTAATTTTCTTGATTTTAACTATCATAGTCATTAAACAATCCAAACTGTAGATTTTGACAATATCCAAGATATTAAGAATCCTTCCTTTAAATCGAAGTACCCAAACATGCCCTAAAGCATATTCTTCATAGTTAAAGAGTGCCATTACATATTAAAGATGGCCTATAATACGCTCCCACATGAGCATGGTGTATATCTACTCCCTTGACAAGATTACCTATTTAGGCAGGATTTTCTTAATTTGGGAGAAATTGTTATTCTCAAAAGGAAAAAAAAAAGAAAAAATGTTAGATTTTTTAATACGTGAATCTCACCTTCTAAAAATTGGACGGTCTTTGTTCAATCTTGAGATGATAGTTTTTTAAGTGCAATGGGGGTGCAATTAAAAAATAATTTTCTAAAGGTTGCGTAGGGTTACGTCCTTAAAATTTGGGTCCTAAAATAGGATTTAGTTGAGGGAGTAAATAGAAAGTATACTCCCACATCTTTTGGCTACATTAAAATGACTTGGAAAAATAGTGATAATAACAGAGGGAATATCTCTTCCACTCCCAATATGTCGATCTTGGAAAATACAATTGTGATGTCAAAAAATCCTCAATTTGATCATTTTTGTTTCAACAAAGAAGAATACAACTTGCGATACTAGAAAACCATCAATTTGATCATTTTTGTTTCAGCAATTATAATATAATATAAGCTTTTCAAGCCTTAAAAATAATGTATATTGTGATGCATTATATGGACTGGTCATTTTAAGTGTCGACATATTGGTTAGATTTATACGATTTTTTAATCTTCAAATTTCATAATCAAGGGCAACAATAGATTTCTGTTAGAGGAGTTTCCACTACCAAAACTGCAATTACAATAAGTATTTGACATGCAACTTACATTTTTAATGTAAAGCTTAGATTCTATGCCGACCTCAACCGTATATAAAATGTCTAATGATATTATTACATATTATATATGTATTATACAAATGTATATTATTTAAATTTCGAGGTCAGGCTAGCGAACCGAAGCACAAAAAATGTTCAGCCCGAACAAGCTCAGCCTGCTAGCTTTAAAATTCGGGCCGAACACAACCAGAAGTCAGACCTGGCCCCTTGGCAGCCCTAATTGCGACTCAATGACATATGCAGTCCTAATTGCAACATTATGCAGCCCTAATTGCAACATAATGACATATCAACTGGTGATGCATTCCAGTTTTGTTGCCATTAGAAGATAGGTGCTTTGATGGGACACAATGCAGTAGCTAAGTGCACCCCATGTGCCATGATGTCCTCATACCCCCTGATATGTAGGCACATTTGGACTGCAATTTGTTTGCATTTAATACATCTTTGTAATTTTTTACATAGTTTTGCATTTTTTAGCATATGGAATGTTCAAATGCAAGGGAGAGACAGGTCAGAGACAAAATGACAACTAAAACCTCATAAAAACACCCAGACAAAGACATAAACTACAGTACTAATTGTGCAACCAGACATTCAAATAAATATTTGTGCACCAAAAAAAGCAACAAGTCCTAGATATTAAACTGGGAGTGAGGTAAATGCAACAAGTACCAAATATGCTCAGTACAAAGCAAAATTCTCTATAGCAACTGCACATTACTTATTGAGATGCAATTCCAACCTCATGGACTTAGTAAACAGTAGACAGAAAAGCTTGTGTAAAGCCAAAATTATATACGAAAATATAAAATGAGACCATTTATCTTTTATACAAGATGGTCACAATAATTTTGGCCATTGGATGTAAAGTTGGGTGGTTGCAATTATTCCTTTGACCAAGCTCAAACTTCAAAAAATAATTTCTCGAACTTTGTAACACATCTAAGTAATCAAATTTCACATCAAATGGTTGTAAGGAATTGTGACCACCTTGTATAAAAAGTAAATGGTCTCATTACATACAATCTCAAATTATATTTGAAAACAAACTTCAAAGTGGGGTACATCTTCCCTTGTTTGTGGTTAGACATAGATGTGTAACAACTAGAGTGCCATTTAAAACTCATGTTTTTAAAAAATAAAAAAATATTTATCTGTAGTTAGCCAAAAATTTGTTACTACTTCCTAGAATGTCAAAGGCTTTAATATAAGAGAAAATCAAAGTGTAATGCAATGAATTTGAAATTGTTGTAAAAAACATCACTATAAATCCTCACTCTGTTAATGGCAAGATCTCGAACACACGGTCCGTGTATGTTTGGCGACAACAAACATTTTGATTTTAATTAAATGGTCAAAATTTAGTCGAGAACAATATCACACATGTATTAGTGCATAATAAGTACAATAGGGTCAATTTTCAAATGGAGTCAATCATTGACATAGTTATCGTCTCCAAGAACCATCCATCTGTAGTTTAGATGCTAGAAACATGTAAATTCTAAACGTGTAGACACATAAACATATTCTTTTATTTATCTTTCAGACTTGGGAAACTGATCAAACTACACCAATGATTTAAACTAGGGTGTGGTTTCTATAAGGTTGCAAGCTTAAACAATCCAATACAGGCACACTTCCAAATTGTATCATAACAAGTAATTTTGGTGTTAAATTCTTACGGTTATTTGAAAATCTATTTCCATATTTAATTATAAAAATTTAAACTCTAAAAATAGTTAAATTTAAGTATATCTATAAACATACGAAAATCTTGAAAATTGACGGTTTAGATAATGTGTTGCAAAATACACTATTTTTTAGACTCAAAATCCTATTTTTTTTTTTTTCCATATTCATACATTGTGATGTCAAAATAATCAATTAAAGGGTTTCTCAACATTAAAACAACATTTTCCTATGATTTTTTAGGTGCATTTGTAATTCTATATTTTAAGGTTGCAACTTTACATAAACGTTTTCCCTTAAACTATGGGAAAGTATACAATAAGACCATTTATCTTCGGTACAAGATGGTTACAATTAATCTTAGCTATTGGATATGAAATTGCATGGTCACAATTAATCTAATTCCAAGTTTACCATCATTCTTTTGATGATATTTTAAACACCCCGACAGTTGACACATCAAAATGGTTTTTGATATTTATCAAAATATAACTAGGGCGAAAATAGTTACCATAGTTATTTAAATGGGTTTTAAATATTTTTTATGTTTTAAAATAATCTCATATATTGCACATTTTACACTCAAGTCCTATTGTTTGAAAATAATTTTTGAATTTTAAATTTTTTATTTTCTAAACAAATTATGCTCAAAATTTGATATATTTGCACTTCTCATCAGCAAACGCATTTAAAAATATATTATAAATAGTTTTAGAATATATATAATTACCATAATATATCTAAACACTAAAGGATATTTTGCTCATTTGTTATTTTTTAATTATATTTTAAAATTTATGAGAAAATCAACATTCCAAGTTTGGCCTTAATCTTATCTATAGAAAAAGACAAAAAATTAAAATATATTTTTTTAAAGTGAGATTTGTATGAAAATATGAAATATATGAGACTATTTTTCATTAGCATCGGGCCTTGTCCCAACTAATTGAACTCGACAAATATATGGACTATTTCTAAATTTAAAAAATAAAATTTATCCTTCATTTTATAAGGGAAAAATTTGTATAAGGGTGAGGTTCTAAACAATAAAAAAGAGGCGCACCTCAAAAATTCCCTAGAGGATGTTGTTTCGATGTAAAAAATCCTCAAAATTGATCATCTCGACTTCAAGATGTATAGACATGAGAAAAAATAGATTTCAAGTATTAAAAATAATGCATAAATATAATACATTTTTTGGAACGTAAATTTTCAAGATTTTTAAGTGTTTATAAATCTACTCGGTTTACATTATTTTTAAAACTTCAAATTTTATAATTAAAGATAGAAATAAATCTCCAGGCCACCACAAAGATTTTCAGTATCGAAACATCTTTCGATACTATTTGAAGGTCTACCTTACTTTGATCATTTAGGGTCTTGGCCTAATACAAACGACACCATTTATAAAAAAAAAAGTATTTGTTGAGTCGGCCGACTCACCTATTCTCGTACGGTCTCCCTTCACTTTTTCCATTCCTCTTTCTATCCCTCAAGCTGTACATTCCCGCACTGCTCATCCATTCCTCAGAACCACCATACCATTGATGAGAAACAGTTGAAAAAATAGAAAAGCTCAATAAATTTTTCCTTAATTAGAAATGGGTTCTTCTAGCAAGAGAAAACCCATGAAGAAACCCGCTTCCAAATCCATTTCCATCAAGAATAACATCCACAAATCCATTGAGAAAACCACATCAATACCCCATTTTCACCAATCCATTGATGCTCAAGTTTGCTCTTTGAACAACAAAAATAGCCAAGATGAGGAAGCAGAGGAAGTGGCGGAAGAGAGAGAAGAGCCAGGGCACGCCCACGCCCTGAATGCTTCAGGTGTGCTCACACTAGAGGAAGTCTTAGAGCGAAGGTGTAGAAAGATGAGGCAGTTGATGGATTTTTACAGGAGTTACTATTGGGGCTTAATGGAGGAGGTGAGGTTCAAGTATAGGGAGTACTATTGGAAGTTTGGGAAAGGTGGGTTGGAGGAAGAGAGAGAAAGAGAGGGTTTAGAAGGAAGCACAGGGGAGGAGAGAGAAAGGGAGGGTTTTTTGGGGAAGAAAGGGGAAGAGAGATGTGGGTTTCTGGGGTGCAAGGCCAAGCGTATGGCCATGGCAGGCTTTTGCTATACACACATTCTCTCTGATAGTAGGCAACAATTGTATAAGGCATGTTCTTATGTTGTCAAGAGGTTAGCTTATCCTCTCGCTTTTTGCTTTATTTTTCACTTTTCTCTAAAAAGGTTTGAAATTTAGATTACTGGGTGAATGCTATAATATGAGCTTGATTTTTCATATTATTATGGCATATATTTTTGCTTCTTTATTGAATTGGGAGAGTTGATTTTCACTGATATACCAACTTTGTGGTTCATCTGCTACTTTCTCTTCTTCAAGTTTGATTTTGAAACAGCGGGTTTGTGGTTGTTGTATTTATCTGGTTTTGCGAAGGTTTCTTAGTCCAGTGATTGTTTTTTCCTCCTTTATTTATTAGTTTTAAATCCTATGTCTTCAAGAGTTTGTTCTGTGTTGGTGGTTTTTCTTCTCATTTCCTTTCCCTTGGCATGCAGTTGCAGGGTATATGTTTGTCCAGTATCCTGCATCTTCTGTTGTGTTATTTTTTATGTGTGTTATATCGTAATCAGCTGATCATCTGTGAATTCAAAATATTGGGTGGCATTGTATGAATTTTTGTCATTGATATCATCAAAATAGAAAACGGCTCCACCTCTGACTATAAGAGTTTGTTGGTCAAATGGTGCTAGAGATCACAATTTATGGAAACTAACTCCTGTGGTACTTTGAGAAAGCTTTTTCTTCATGCTACAAGATTAATCTTCCGTCTCCCGAATGGGCATTGATTCGTCTTATATCTCCTCATTGATTCGAAAATGAGCACTGCACATTTGAAAGTGTTAGGATGAAATTTCCTATAGGAAGACTGAAATATTGCAGAAGAGTGTATTTCTCTTAAAGCTATAGGAGCAACGTCACTTTTTCCATTATTTCCTCTACAATGGTTTTAGTTTCACTTGGATGTTTATGGGTGAGAAAGAAAGCCATTTAGACTTTTTAAAATTCTTTATTGATGAGATCTTATTTGTTATGTTATACAGTGTACAAACTGGGCCCATCGTATGTGGTAAACCGGTGCTGAAGGCAGTTGTGCCCTCCCTATGTGGCATCCACTATGAAAAAGCCGAGAAACACATTGCTCGATCCCTGAAGAAGGCAGGCCTAAATCATATGCCATCTTCAAACAGGCCTGCTCCAAAATTTCATATACTAATCACTGAATATGTGCGCCATATTCAGGCAAAAAGAGAAGCTTGCAATGTAAATTGCAACAAGAATGGAAAAAATGGGCCTGAAACACTAACCGTAGTTAAGGATGAGAGTGCTAATTGATGGTTTTGCTGCCTTCTGTTGAGTAGAGAGGAAGTTGAAGCAGGTGTTATGAGTGAAGAAACTGGCCAAAATAGAAAGAACAAGAAAAATACTTTATGAGAGAAGATAAAGTTTGGGTGAATATTCATTTCATCCAACTGAGTTGGCAGGGGTCTAATGCATAGGGGCTCTCTCACAACTTGGAAGAGGAATCATGAGCCCAAAGGTATAATTATTTCTGCACCACCTATTGAAATGAATAAACTGTTTTATGCTAAAGCTTTAAGTATTATTGCTTCATATGTTAAGCATTTGCTTGGTCCCCCACAATTAAGACGTCTCGTGTTTTCCGTTAATTGCTTTCAATACTGTGCTTCACTGATACGTTTTGAACTCTGTACATGGTCGACTTTCTCAAACACTGTTTGCAGGGTTGTGATCTATCCAGTTGTTGTCTGTATGTTTAATTATTTATATTAGTTGCCAATAGAAAAGCCCATCCAGTTTCCTAGAAAACTTATCTTCCACCAATCTAGACATGGCTTCGTGGCCATATGTTTTCAATGGTTTGTAGCAAATGGTAGTCATATGTTCCGTTTTTTCCTTTCACCCATTGTGTCGGACACCTCTGTTTGATGCGCGCAATTTACTATTTTGTAGCTATTGGAAGTCAAGTAAAGGATGGGGATGTTGAGGAGGCTATTGTTTGGATGCTCATAACACAAATTGTGCTTCTACAAATGGATGAGGTATTGGTTGTTATACAAGAGATTGTTATTGTAATTTCAGAATAACAATTATTGCTGAGCAGTTCAGAGCAGGCACAAGGGTATTGGACTGAGCTTCTTCTGCGGTCTTCATTTATCTGTCTTGCGGGATCTACAGTCAATTTTTTAACTTGTTGCGAGCATAAGTGTGCTTCTCAGTAACGATCATCTTGAGAAGAATACATAAGCTTGGATAGATGAAACCATATAAAATGAATATTATTGCCGAGGTGAGTTTAATAATCAGTTATTATCTGCAATCTATGTAAAGTGCATCCAAATTGGCCTTTTATCACAGGAATGATGATTGAGATAATTGGCTATGTATTTGTAACTTAAATTCAATAATTCATTGATAGTTATCTTACTAGCCGGAAGTGTTCCTCTTCTGTAAGAAGCCTTTGTTGTCTAGTATCTACTGAGTGTACTTCTTCCTATTTGGTCTGGCTATTGTTGTTTGTCAGTTTTCCAGAATTTGAAAAAATCTGTTTGAAATGCTTTCGGGGATGCTTGATGATCCTTTATCAAAAGAAAAGAAAATGGATGCATGATGACCCCTTAGTTCATTCATGGAAATTACCAGAAAATAATCATTCTCTGCATTCTAGAGACTAGATACTAATGGAAGCTGAATTATATTCCAAGATGAAAAATGGTGTTTGATTTGAATAAGAGAACTTCGCGAAGATTCAAGCTCCGACCTCTTAGTACAGATCATTGTAAATTGCGATTTATCGTATTTATCTATTCATTTATTTTATTTTGTTAATTTATGATCGATTCCTTGGTGTACAACAAACTTGATCTTATTTAGAGCTACCACTGGGAGCTGCCTTGAACTTGGAATTTCCGTCTCATGGAGCTAATGGCAACTGGAAGGAAGACATGAAATGATATTCTTGGAAGAGACTATCGTCTGTTTTCTCTTTTTTATTGAAGCAAGTCATTGGGTAAGAGAGATAATACTGCATCATTAACAAACTGCAGAAAGTATTTTGGTTCCAGATTTCAGGCTGGAATAGTCCTCTTCCATGGCCAAATGGCCTGCCTCATCCAGGAACCTCCATTGGATATTACTTGCAAAAGTAGACAAATATGGAGACCTGGGGTCAGCTAAGCATATCCCGTTAGGAACTTCTGGAGAAGCCAGTTTACTACGAATTGAAAAGAAAACGGAAGGTTTGGATTTTTTATCATTCGTCAATTTCCATCATATTTTTAGCCTCTCTTTTTCTGATTGATGCATTCTCTTATATTTGTTATTGGGTTTTCACTTTAGGCATGCTTTATGCTCTACTGCCTTTTTCATACATCGATCATCGGGCGTTAGAAAGCAATTCTTTGCTCTGTTTTTTTTGTGATAATTATTCGTTATCTTTTTTGTTTCCTTGGACTTGGGTGGTTTGGAATTTAAACATGCATTCATGGGTGTTGGACTAAAAGCTGCAGAATAGTCCAAAGTCCAAACAATTTACATTAATGGTTTTATCCTTGTTGACTGTGTGATCCTCACTCTATTAATTTGCTTGGTTATTTTTTCGATGAGTAGTTTTTTTCTCTATTAATAAGCAGGGTTCAAGTTCCATTTTTGTTGTTATTATTCTGAGAGGTTTCTTTGCATATTATCTATCCTTCATCCCAATCCCACCCGCCATTTTTTTTTTCTTTATTTTCATCTTCTTGGGCTGCTTCATAAGCTATAAAATGGAAGAGAAGCAGAGATTCAGCTTTCATTCTTGTGATCTAGGGCATCTTCCAGCTTTGTTCCTTTTGGATACGCAATCAGAGTTGAGACATGGAGTTACCATTTGGACACTCCTATTTCTATTGCTCTTTTGATTCTAGTGCACTTTAGCTTACCTGGAGTTACTGTTCTCATTTTGGGTTTAGGTTTTGGGGGTTTGCTCTTTTTCACTGACTGGTGTTTGGATGGGAAATACAAAGTCCCAATTAAGGACGACTCAGGCATCTCCAGGTATCCCAACGGGTATCGAAACGGCCCGTGTAAGTGAGATGGAGCAAAGATTGCAAACTATTTATGTACACAGTGATGGAGAGAGACTTGTAGTAAACACAGAGTGCTGGAAACCCCTATGCAACACTTGTAGGTGAAAATGAATAGTATTTTCACCTATAGGTTGGCCACCATCCGATTGTTTGGGACTGCGTGGAAAAATCGATTGCAAGGGACGTACTATGTTTGTTGCGGTATGTCTGGAGCAGTCAATTTTTCATGTTAAACCGCAACGGATCTACGAT